GGGATCCAAGACCTAAGATTAGGATCAAGTGCATTTTATTGGGGGTCGTGGGCCTCTGAATGTCTAGAACCGGCCCTGCATCCGGGGCTGCTGGAAAAAGATAAAGAAATTTCCGAGCAGTGCATTTATTCTTCAACTTATTCTAAAGGTGTGTGTGACTAGAACTTACTATTCATTTCCCTCAAAGTCTCAGGTGTGCTTTGTTTGAGTAAATAAGCATTGCATCTCTGCTCTAACTCTATTTCATATTACCATATGAAATATAAAGCAGGGATGCACAACCTCTGAACGCTCATATACAGGCGTATACATAAAGGTCATCTATGACTCCTGTTGTCATTTTTATCTGTGCTGCAGAGCTACCAAACATTTGATTTCATTTTCAGCTTCAGCATCTTTTGATGGACAGATGATGGTGTCTTGGAGAAGATGAGTGTTATTTTTAAACAGGTAAGCTGCCTTAACAAAAATACTAACCCCTTTGTATGCTATAATATGAATACATATCTATCTATCTATCTATCTATCTATCTATCTATCTATCTATCTATCTATCTATCTATCTATCTATCTATCTATCTATCTATCTATCTATCTATCTATCTATCTATCTATTTATCCTAAATAATGCCCAATTCAAATTCTCTTATCACTATTCAAAATGCATTTTTTTTAACAATGCACACCAAAAGCTCAAAACAACTTGTTGATAAACTAAGCATTCTAAATAAGAAACTATTTTGTTGATATAACTATATTAAGTGTGAATAGCATTTCCTTCGTTAGAGACAAAAAGATGCACGCGTGAAGAAGGAAAATGCAAAAGCCAACCTTCAGCAGAGAACGCGAGCATCTCTGAGGTGTCTGACACGGTCAAGGTGAGACATGTTTTATATGAGCTAGACCTATACATTCAGAAATTAATGCATTATTGTTTTTGCATGCTTTATTGAATCCATTACTGTAAGGACCTGTGTGCGTGTCTGTTTTCCCGTTGTGTTTTATTCCCAGCTTCCAGTTGCACACACGGATGTTTGTCAGAATGAGACTGATGTTCCTCAGGCGTTCTCCAGCCTGTTGCTTAACATCCCAGATGTGGAATCTGCAGATGCTGGTGACGCTCGGATCTGCAGTGAACGTGTGTGCGACATCTACGCTTATTTACAGCAGCTCGAGGTGAAGAGACCATCATCCAAAAATGTTATTTTTTTCATGCAGTTACAATGAATTTGGGCTGAAGATTGAAAAACGTTGTTAAGTAGCACAAGTATCATGCAAGTAGTCCAGATGCACTGCTTTGCATTAAAAGAATCGTTCACCCAAAAATGAAAATGTTATCCTCAGGCAATCCAAGATGTAGATGAGTTTGTTTCTTCATCAGGTTTGTAGAAATGTAGCATTGCATCAGTGTCTCAGCAATGGATGCTCTGCAGTGAATGGGTGCCGTCAGAACGAACGTCCAAACAGCTGATAAAAACATCACAATAATCCACAGCACTCCAGTCCATCAGTTGTGTGCGTTTCTGTTTTCCCGTTGTGTTTTATTCCCAGCTTCCAGTTGCACACACGGATGTTTGTCAGAATGAGACTGATGTTCCTCAGGCGTTCTCCAGCCTGTTGCTTAACATCCCAGATGTGGAATCTGCAGATGCTGGTGACGCTCGGATCTGCAGTGAACGTGTGTGCGACATCTATGCTTATTTACAGCAGCTCGAGGTGAAGAGGCCATCATCCAAAATGTTATTTTTTTCATGCAGTTACAATGAATTTGGGCTGAAGATTGAAAAACGTTGTTAAGTAGCACAAGTATCATGCAAGTAGTCCAGATGCACTGCTTTGCATTAAAAGAATCGTTCACCCAAAAATGAAAATGTTATTCTCAGGTCATCCAAGATGTAGATGAGTTTGTTTCTTCATCAGGTTTGTAGAAATGTAGCATTGCATCAGTGTCTCAGCAATGGATGCTCTGCAGTGAATGGGTGCCGTCAGAACGAACGTCCAAACAGCTGATAAAAACATCACAATAATCCACAGCACTCCAGTCCATCAGTTAACATCTGGAGAAGACAAAAGCTGAAACAAACCCAGCATCAACACGTTGTTAACTAAAATACCATAGAGTCCATAATCCATAATAACGCTTGCTCCAGTGAAAAAGTGTTCTGGTCTGAATCAGGAGAGAATTCTGAACAGATCAAGCAGCGTTTAAACAGCTCTAAACACATATTTGGGGGTTTTGGGACTTTTTTTGGACTCTCTTCTAATGAGCCGGTGGTCTGAATCAGGTGTGTTAAATAAGAGAAAACATGCAGAGCGGTGGTACGCAAGGACTGGAATTGAGAACCCCTGCTTTTAAGCACTGACATCTTTAGCTTTCAGAGGATTTAATGTCTAGGGTTTAATGCACTGACTGATGAAATGTGCCGCTCGTGCATCATGCTGATGCTTGTCATCTTGACTAATTGAGCTTCATGATCGTGTCTTTACAAGGTTGCTGTGATTTATGCACCATGTATGAAGGTTGATGTTTGTGTTTACTGGTCTTGCTTGAATGCATGTTAGGTTGTGATGGTCATCAGACTGCAGGTGCAGCGAGAGCTCAAACTGCGGCAGGAGACCCTCCTCATGACCGTCAGCAACACTGACCGCTTCCTTCAGGTTTGTGATTCTCAATTCACCTCTTAAGCGTGGCAGTAATGGTCATGACTTCTCATATTGCTCTTTGGAGCCCTGAATGAGCGCAGAGCAATGTGTCAGTCCACTAATGAGGTTTGATATTTGTAGATTTGCTTGCACTCCATGTGGATAATTTATATGTGAGAGGAGACAACAGGAGATGCACTTTTTTAGACTTTTTTTAGTTAAGCGTCTTAATGCTGGGTTTGTTTCAGCTTTTGTCTTCTCCAGATGTCTAGTTTTATTTGTTTTTTCAGTACATATTTAGACTGGTTCAAAACCTTCACTCTTGTTCTACTCACTTTGGCATCAAAAGACACTCATTTATTAACTCTCCCTCCTGTTCGGCGTCGTTCCTGATGGAAGTGTCTGCTCTGGACTATAATCTGGTCCACGTTCCTCCGTCCCTCACTGCAGCGGCTCGGAGGATTCATTCTGTTGGAGCTCTCTTCTAACAAGCCGGTGGTCTGAATCAGGTGTGTTAAACATGCAGAGCGGTGGTACGCAAGGACTGGAATTGAGAACCCCTGCTTTTAAGCACTGACATCTTCAGCTTTCGGAGGATTTAATGTCTAGGGTTTAATGCACTGACTGATGAAATGTGCTGCTCGTGCATCATGCTGATGCTTGTCATCTTGACTAATTGAGCTTCATGATCGTGTCTTTACAAGGTTGCTGTGATTTATACACCATGTATGAAGGTTGATGTTTGTGTTTACTGGTCTTGCTTGAATGCATGTTAGGTTGTGATGGTCATCAGACTGCAGGTGCAGCGAGAGCTCAAACTGCGGCAGGAGACCCTCCTCATGACCGTCAGCAACACTGACCGCTTCCTTCAGGTTTGTGATTCTCAATTCACCTCTTAAACGTGGCAGTAATGGTCATGACTTCTCATATTGCTCTTTAGAGCCCTGAATGAGCGCAGAGCAATGTGTCAGTCCACTAATGAGGTTTGATATTTGTAGATTTGCTTGCACTCCCAATGGATCCCATTCAGTCGTGTCTTGAATATTTTTCAACTCTCTTTCTCTTTCCAATCATGTCACTTTTATTTTGGCAAAAATTTCAGATTACACTGTATTTGAAAGCAGGAGTTTTCCTGGAAAATAGTGTAAACTTGAATCTCCCCCCCCTAGTTTTATTTGTTTTTTCAGTACATATTTAGACTGGTTCAAAACCTTCACTCTTGTTCTACTCACTTTGGCATCAAAAGACACTCATTTATTATCTCTCCCTCCTGTTCGGCGTCGTTCCTGATGGAAGTGTCTGCTCTGGACTATAATCTGGTCCACGTTCCTCCGTCCCTCACTGCAGCGGCTCGGAGGATTCATTCTGTTTTATTTTATTTGTCTTGTCTGTGAACTCTCATTAACGTCTTGCTCTGTAGCTAAGATTAGTTTGCCTGTTCGTATGTTGTTTGAGTATTAAACCGGCGTTTAGGGAAGTGTGTGAAATATTGAAAGTAATCCACTGGCACCGAAACGATGTGAACGTTTCATCTTGATAATGACTGTCTGGCAGAGTGTGAGTCTACAGAGAGGAGACTTTAGCTCCTGTGATGCAGGCCGTCGTACGGATGCTGGAGAAGGTTACTGACCAATGCAAGGTGAGACCAATCTCATGGAAATGATGAATGCGGGAATTCTTCTGCTAGAAAAAGACTTGTCTGCATTTATCTTCTCATGGCTGACGCATGATGATTTTCTTTAGTTCCTCTAAGGTGCTTTGGATAAAGGCACCTGAAAACTGCTGCAAAAGTCAGATCAGTAAGGCCTACGATCAATCAAAACCTGTGTTAATTGAAAGAAAACAAGTTGATAAAGAGATTAAACCCAAGATTTAAAGATAATAAAGCATAATGAGTTGATGTTGCATTATAGGTTCTTAAAACACTCCGGGTCAAAAAGGACCGAATCTACGGTGGCCGAGAGAGCTCAACGCGCTGCAACTTAAGAAAACACATGCAAATTGAAAAAACACCCAGTTGTTAAACACACAGGTTGCTGCAGTGCAAAGGACTTTAGAGGAAAAATACAAAAACTGTACTCTTTACAAGCACATTCTTGTACACAAATCAAATGAATCAAAAACAGAAATGTCATGAATGCACACACTAATAGCGTGCATACGCCGTCAGAAATCAGTGCATGTTTCAATTTTTAAGAAAAGCATTTTTTATTACTTTTTTTTTCTGCCAAAACACCAGCTCCAGCACTATCCTCAGCATCCTGAGCTGCAAAGCTTCCCGATGCGCGAGTTCAGTGCGCGCAATGACAACACGTTTGTGATTGAATCCTTGCTTTCTCATGTGTTTCCAGTGTCAGAGTGCACCGATAGGTGGCAGTGGGTATCTCAGGTAGAAATTCCCAATATATCCCAGCAGCCGCTCAGCTGTCACACACACACACACACGGAGAGAGCGCAGGAGTCTCGCGCAGAGTTTCACCAAACAGAGAGTGCCAGAGTCGGGGAACGGGCACTTCACGCCGCCGGAGCCGGAGACACAGCACTCGGACGGGGACTGGTACGGATACATCTCGTATCGGAGTTGTGAGCAATGCGCTGGCAGCATGGCCAGATGGTTCAAGGAGCACCTGGGTTTCAAAACCACCAAAGCCCCGCCACCGGCGCCTCCTAAACCGGACTACCGACACTTCCACACCGCCGTCTCCAGCCCTCCGGCGTTCCACCTCCAGCAGCAGACGGGCACCGGGTTAATGTCCGCGCAGCCCGACATCCTCACCGCCTACAAACTCCAGAAGGAGCTGGACTTCGAGGATCCGTACACGCCGGGCGGAACCGTGCCCTTCTCCAGCGGACTGAGTTCCGCGGGCTCGCCGGACGTCAAGTACGTGTCTCCGAAGCACCGGCTCATAAAGGTGGAGACGGTCGAGCGCAGCGGCTCGAGCTCGGGCAGCAGTAGCGGGGCGACCGCGGTCAAATCCCCCAGCTCTCCACCCGTCGAGCCCGAGAACGGCAAGCAGGAGAAGGTAAGAGCGAAGCCTGCACACTCACCTCCACAGGTAGGCTCCATACGGCGCAGACCGGGACACGGAGCATCACTCAGTCTACTCAGTGTTATAGAAAATCTGAAAATATATTTAGATTTTTACTAACTTTTCTTCAATGATTTTGAATATTTTTAAAATGTTAATAAATCAGTTCTATAATTATTTTTTGTTCATATTAGTGTTTTTTGTAATTTGTTTTTTTAAATTTAGTATAGACAAGGAAAAAAAATCTAAAATATAAATATAAAAATGTGTTTTTTTTTCAAATATATATTTAAACATTCACTGGTAGTGTCATCACAGTGTGAAAATATTTGACAATAACAGGGTTTACACATTCTGGCATACTTTGTGAGGGTAAAGGCCATGCTTTAGCACAGAAGGTCTGCGTCAGAACCGGTAAGACCAGTTGTTTTATGTGCTCCACAACGGTTACGAGCTGTTACCGACATCCAGAAACACAATCCGTGGGTCTGCGTTTGGGTTTGACTGCTGTTAACATCCATAAACGTCTCTGAGCTGCTTGAGAATCCACATCCGCAGAGGTCTTACATGGCTTTGGCTTATTCTTGATATTTTAGGAATTGTAGAGTGCCCATATGTTATATTGGTTTCCATATATTTTTTGGGGTGGAAATGAAAATGGGTCGTTAGACCTTTATTATCCAGAAGATTGTTGCTCCAGAAGGTGGCTGTGATTTAGATTCGTCAAAGTAGAGTCAAACCATGCAGGATGAAAATATGCAGAGGTCAACAGTAATGGTGACCTTTGACATCCAGTGAAAGTCAGTCATTTGCCCTAAAATCTTATTGACCATTTTTTAACGTTTTGCAATGCTTAGTATTGATACATTTTATGTTGTGATCAGTGAAAATGTTGGTAGGTGGAGTGAAAATCTGAATGCATGCACACGTGCTTGGATGCCGTGTTGAGTTCATTTGTGGTGCGTTTTTTTAGTATTTACGTGAGCGATCACAAATGTATAGCTCGTTCAGAATATTTCCTCCGCGCTTCATACCTGCCACACCTTGTCCTGCGAGGTGCGGCCCGTGCGCTCTCCGTACGCTCTCAGGTTAGAGATATGATGCAAGCGGAGACGGCATGTTTCAAACAGTGCCGTCATATAGTGCACCCGCAGGTGTCCCAACTATCTGGTTATCTTCAGTTAGGGTGCATACTAACTACAGGCTGCTGACTGACACGCTGTTGTCGCTGTCATTCTCGTTCTTGCCGAGCTGATCAACACTTCAGGCCTTCACAGGCATCATGCTCGTGGACTGCCTGTCAAAGCCAGACAACATGCAACTGACTCATCAATCCTGGTAAATACTGCAGCTTCTGCGCTGTCTAATTAAAAGAGTTCAGCTGCAGTCGCTCAGAGTGTTGTTTGTGCTGGTCTGTGCTCTTATCAAATGCTGTTTGTCCCGATTGCTGAATTGCAAGGTTGTTGAAGGAAAAGTTACTGCATAAGATCATATGGGAAAGCACAGGTGTGTGTGTGTGTCAAGGTTTGGCTGGTCAAAATGACTCCATTAGACCTGCTGATAAATGTCGTAACTAACCATCTGCTTCCATTGATGGCCATTCAAAAGTAGCTGTGTGTTCAATGTACAGTGTATGCTACATATATTTTTTCTTCTGATCAGCAGGGCTACATTTATTTGATCAGAAATACAGTAAAAATTGTGAAATATTATTACAATTTCAAACAGCTGTTTTCTATGTGAATATATAGTAAACTGTAGTTCATATCTGTGATCAAAGCTGTATTTTCAGCATCATTCCTCCAGTCTTCAGTGTCACATGATCTTCAGAAATCGGTATAATATGCTGCTCTGCTGCTCAAGAAACTGCTGCGACCCTAAAAATTAAAAGGCAATAGTTCACCCCAAAATTAATTTACTCACCATCAGGCCATCGCTTTTTTCTTCAGTAACAGTGAAGAAGGTTTTTAGCTGAAACTGTGGTCTTTGGTGATTCATAAAATGCAAGTCAATGGCTACCGACACTTTGAGAGTCAAAAAAAGCATAACGCAGGACACCAAATGAATCCCCGTGGGTCCTGATTCTATTTTGAGGTCTTATGAAGCGAAACGCTCAGTCTGTGCAAGAAACTGAACATTGTTTACAGCATTAACACTGTAATCCAGAGCTTCAGATAAAAGGGGAGATCTGATTCTTTTCCTCGAACTGGTTCTTTCGGACAGTTCGTTTCAATGAACTGATTCAAATAACCGACTCACTAGTTCATTTGCATGATTACACAATGACATAACGTATGCGCAATTATATTATTAAAGCAGCCAATAATGATGTAAATCATGGATGTTTTACGTGTCTAAAGCATATAAAGTGAATAAACTAGTCTTCATCAGCTCACCTTTTTACATAAACAATGAGAAACCATAAAAACGTTAATTTGGCCCTTCATTCAAGCTCTCGGTTCATGCATGCGCAGATCAGTGGCTCAGTCCGAGTCGAACTGTTTCCTCAGTTCAGATGATTGTTGCAGGAACTGGAGCACTGAATCAGTTCATTCATCACAGAATCAGATACGCCGGTGTTTCGGCTCATTTTCAGTCGGAGTGACTGTCAGGCGTCTGAAAGTGAGCTTTGATTGAGGAACTTGTAGATCTGTGCTGCTCGAGCCACAAACTGATTCAGACGATTCAACTAGTTCAACAGTTCAAAACAAACTGGTACAAAAGAATGATTCGTTCATGAACCGGGCATCACATCGGACCGTTTGCCTGAGGCTCTGGATTACAGTGTTAATGCTGTAAACAATGTTCAGTTTCTTGCACAGACTGAGCGTTTCGCTTCATAAAACCTCAAAATATCATCAGGAGCCACGTGGATTCATTTGGTGTCCTGCGTTATGCTTTTTTTGACTCTCAAAGTGTCGGTAGCCATTGACTTGCATTTTGTGAATCACCAAAGACCACAGTTTCAGCTAAAAACCTTCTTTACTGTTCTACTGAAGAAAAAAGTCACCTACATCTTGGATGAGTAAATTAAAGTCAAATCTTCATTTTTGGGTGAACTGTCCCTTTAATTAGCTATTAACAGAGTTTATAGATCCGTGCTGTGTTAGAAACACTGAACTGTGAGCAGTAGGATTGTCATATTTTGTGAACGCAGGCATCAAAGATTCGTTATCCGTGTGTGAACCGCTTAGACACGTTATCGTTATGCTCTGTCCATCGCAGTGCTTCTGCTCGCTCATACTGAATGGTGTTTATCGACCGCTGAGGCTGAAACACAAGTATCCTGCTAGTGCTTTGAAAAGGCCAGCTAGTGTCTTAATTACTTGACAAGTGGATGATAATTATGGAAATGCTTTCCTAATGCTCGGAATGCCAATATCTGTGTCAAGCGTTTTGCTCTATCTTGATTTTGAAACAACAGCAGCGTTCAGTCAATTGCTTCAGTTGTTGAGAATCGAGTGCAATATTTAGTCAGATTTAATCTATATAATTGACGTTTCAGATGCATTCAGTTCCTTTTTAAGGGTAGTTTTTGCCATTGCAATGCTCAAAAAAAGATATTTTGGAGAATGTTGGTGACCAGACAGCTGCTGGTAGCCACTGACGGCCATAGTATTTTTTCCCATTTTTCCAACATTTTTTACGTGTTTTCTTTTTCTACTGAAATTGGTGCAGAGAGCCGTGAAATGTTACTGTAGTGACACCGACTACTGAGATTTTGGTATTGTGACAACACAGATTTATTTATTATAATTAAAACATAAATAATGAAATCTTTTTTTGCCAGTATGGTAAGCAGACCGGCTGATTGCATTAGCTTATGATTTCTTTGCTGCTCTTGTGTTTTTGTTGTTGTGATTAGACCTTCTCGGCTGAGAGCGTTTGTAAGATGATCAATTATCGTTTTAAAGTAGCATTAATGAACAACACCCTCCGAGCACACACACACACACTCTCTCTCTCTCTCACACACACACACACACTCTCTCTCTCTCTCTCTCTCTCTCTCTCTCTCTCTCTCTCTCTCTCTCTCTCTCTCTCTCTCTCTCTCTCTCTCTCTCTCTCTCTCTCTCTCTCTCTCTCTCTCTCTCTCTCTCTCTCTCTCTCTCTCTCTCTCTCTCTCTCTCTCTCTCTCTCTCTCTCTCTCTCTCTCTCTCTCTCTCTCTCTCTCTCTCTCTCTCTCTCTCTCTCTCTCTCTCTCTCTCTCTCTCTCTCTCTCTCTCTCTCTCTCTCTCTCTCTCTCTCTCTCTCTCTCTCTCTCTCTCTCTCTCTCTCTCTCTCTCTCTCTCTCTCTCTCTCTCTCTCTCTCTCTCTCTCTCTCTCTCTCTCTCTCTCTCTCTCTCTCTCTCTCTCTCTCTCTCTCTCTCTCTCTCTCTCTCTCTCTCTCTCTCTCTCTCTCTCTCTCTCTCTCTCTCTCTCTCTCTCTCTCTCTCTCTCTCTCTCTCTCTCTCTCTCTCTCTCTCTCTCTCTCTCTCTCTCTCTCTCTCTCTCTCTCTCTCTCTCTCTCTCTCTCTCTCTCTCTCTCTCTCTCTCTCTCTCTCTCTCTCTCTCTCTCTCTCTCTCTCTCTCTCTCTCTCTCTCTCTCTCTCTCTCTCTCTCTCTCTCTCTCTCTCTCTCTCTCTCTCTCTCTCTCTCTCTCTCTCTCTCTCTCTCTCTCTCTCTCTCTCTCTCTCTCTCTCTCTCTCTCTCTCTCTCTCTCTCTCTCTCTCTCTCTCTCTCTCTCTCTCTCTCTCTCTCTCTCTCTCTCTCTCTCTCTCTCTCTCTCTCTCTCTCTCTCTCTCTCTCTCTCTCTCTCTCTCTCTCTCTCTCTCTCTCTCTCTCTCTCTCTCTCTCTCTCTCTCTCTCTCTCTCTCTCTCTCTCTCTCTCTCTCTCTCTCTCTCTCTCTCTCTCTCTCTCTCTCTCTCTCTCTCTCTCTCTCTCTCTCTCTCTCTCTCTCTCTCTCTCTCTCTCTCTCTCTCTCTCTCTCTCTCTCTCTCTCTCTCTCTCTCTC